TTTTCTTTTTTCTTTCTTTTTTTGGCCTTTTTTGTGTCAATAGTGAGGTCCCTGGAATCTTAATGGCTCGAAGTTCAGCACGACACTCCTTTGAGCCCCAGATGCGCCCTGGGTAAGATCCTAGCGTCCAAGATTATTGCTTACCTTGGCAACCAAGACTTCCGGAATCCAGGAGATACCGGAAGTGACGCTCTCGTGCTTCCCGTTCCGCCATTGTTGCTGTTTCTTAGTGTCCTGGAGGTGTGTGGGGCTGCTGAGCCATCACGCATGCTGGTGGCGACGCGGTGGAAAGTGCGGCTCTCACTCGGGCCGCGACGCCGGCAGTGCCGGCGTGCTTGCCCGAGGCGGAGCCGCCTTGTCCTCCTGCTGGGGTCACTTGGCTTGGGGTCGGCTCGAGTTGTTGGCGCCTGTGCGTCAGACGCGGCCAGGTGAGCGGCCACCGAGGCAGGACCCGTGACTCTGGGGTGAGCCCCACGCGAGCTCGCAGTTCAGATGTGCAGCGAGATCTGCCGCTTAGCACTCGGGACAGTAAGGACAGCAGGAAAGTGTCCTATGATCTTGTGTACTCTCGGAGAGTTCTCAGATTACTCCACCTGTCTTTAAAACAAAAACAAAAAACAACCAGGCTCACAGGAAAATGTCTAGCCCGGGAGTCTCCAGTGCCTGTTATCTCAAACCACGGCACACATCCTAGTTGCCCCAGAGGAGCTGGTTTTCCAACGGCATGCATAAACGGGAAAATGTTTTCTCCAAATTTTGTCGCTAAACTAACCACATTCGTTTAACACATCTCTGTCCCTGTGTAACACATATGCACGCGTGCACGACTAGGAAGCCAGTCCCGCCTTTTGAATCTTTCCAGGACTGTGTAAACTGCAAACAATTGCATTAAGAGAAGTGATCCAAAAGAGGTATGGGTGGAGTGTAGTCCGTGGGATTACTGAAGCTATAAGCACTGATATGCCCGGAAAGACCAGAAAGGCTCCAAGTTACGTAGAAAAAACTTCCAAAAGTTTTTATACTAATTCCTCCCTTTGGGTGGCCCTTCGGTAATTTAGAGGCCATGACTGGTGAGTTCTGCATAAACCAGTTACAGCAAAGGAAATGAGCCATTGTTTTATATCTGAGGAAAGCAGGAAAATATCTCAAGAGAAGTGGCATTTCTTCTGGGTCTTGACACTTGAGTAAGAGTTTATCAGAAATGAAGAAAAAGAACAGGGAAGGTGCAGACAAGTGAAGTGTGGTGTTCCCCACCCACCCACCCCCTTACTTGTAGAGTGTTAGCTCCAAACTTTTGTACATCTTTACCAGTTGAAGAGTTTTGAACCTCCACTCCCAGCACAAGTTTATTAAAAAATTAAAGATACATCCTATTTGAATTTCAGTGCCTACTAGAGGACATATTAAGTAGGAGTTAAATTATTGAGTATTTTCTTTAACAACCTGTTGTCTTGCATACCCTACTTTAGAGACCATTGCCGTCCTTTTAATCTGGGTACTTGAAGAGGATGGTTGGTGTGTGAAAGGCTAAGAAAGCTAACCCTAAGACATTTAGTTAGCTTTTATCCTGCAGGTGAACCACTAAAAGTTTGAGAAGGGAAGTCACTTGGAGTTCTCTGTGCTCTTCTCTCCCCCTGAAGCTTTGCAGAATCTGTCACCAGCTAAGAGTTAGGTGCTCCAGGACTCTGATTGTTCTCTTTGTGTTTCTGTAGGGGACACTTTCCTCACTTCCTTTCTTGACTCTGAAAAGAACATCTCCTGCAGTTTGAAGCAGAGACTCATCTTCAGTGTGCCTGCTGTAGCTGGGACCAGCCTCTCTGGGATCACAATGACCATGGAAGGCAGGGGGACATTAGATATCATCCCCAGGACTGCCATGTATCAGAAGCAGGAAGGGAGCTGGACTGTGAAGCAGGAACCAGGAAGCCAGACCTGGGGAAAGAAGAACTACCCTCCCGTGTGTGAACTATTCCGACTGCACTTCAGGCAGCTGTGCTACCATGAGATGTCTGGGCCTCAGCAGGCCCTGAGCCGGCTCAGGGAGCTCTGCCACTGGTGGTTGATGCCAGAGGTCCACACCAAGGAGCAGATCCTGGAGCTGCTGGTGCTGGAGCAGTTCCTGAGCATCCTGCCCAAGGAGCTTCAGACCTGGGTACAGCTCCATCACCCCGAGACTGGCGAGGAGGCTGTGGCTGTGGTGGAGGATTTCCAGAGACACCTTAGCGAGTCAGGGGAGGTAAGCAGTCAGCCTATAGGACCATCTAGAACCACTCTCTAGACTTGGGCTAGCCTGAGAACAAGTATTCTCTATTCCCCACACTTTAGGCAGGTTTGCCGTTAGGATTCCTGAACTTGCTCCACTGATAGACAGGAAATAGTTTTCTGCTGCAGTCCATAAGCAAAAATACAAATCCCAGCTTTCTTAGTCACTTATTTTATTGCTGCAAAGATATACCATAACCAAAGCATCTCTTATAAAAGCGTTTAATGGCGGACTTGCTTCCAGTTTTTAGACAGTAGTCCCTTATGGCAGGGAGCTTGGTAGCACATAGGTTTACATGGCGCTGGAGAAGTAGGTGTGAGCTCCAGATCCTGACCGAGAGAGAGAGAGAGAGAGAGAGAGAGAGAGAGAGAGAGAGAGAGAGAGAGAGAGAGA